GCCACCAGAACCCACTGAGTATACAGAAGTGCCTTTCTTGACCCCGGCTATCGCTGGCTCACCCGCCTAGAGGAAGGTTTTTCGTCCTTTCGCCCTTTACCAATTTCACGCAGGCCACGCGACTGGCTTGCGACACCTTATTGGCCTTCTAGATGAGGAGGATTCTAGACATGGAGTGACTGGTCCATGGTGGGTTTTGTTGTGCGCACCCTGGACTGTACGATGCGAGAGACTGTCCTTTCCTTCTCCTCCCCAGACTGCTCCAGGGAGTTAGAAAGTGTTTCCAACAGGCCACAATGGCCAACACTTTTGTCGCCTGTTGCGGGTGAAGGATGGTTGCTCGGCCTTGGTGAACATGTCATGGGAGCAGTGGCAGGGAGGATGGCCACCTTCCTTGTGCTCAGCATCGTGCAGCAGTCCTGCCTAAGATTCACACATGCATGAATCTTCAACCCCGTTGGAAGACCAGCCTACGCTTGCATCCCTGCTGATTTCCACAGCTGCCTCCTAGCTTTTCTCCCTGCCTCTTCTCTCCATCCTGCCTCTTTTTAATCCCACGCTCTTTCCTGCATGGAGATTTTAACAACGCATAGGACTCAGGAACCGCATTGTCGGTCCCAGTGTTACTCGTATCACAGCCTGTGTGTGCACACCTGTTCATGTATGGAGGTGCAGGAGAGGTGGGGAAGGACCAGTGAATCACTAAGGTGCTGCAGGTGAATCCTCCTTTCTTACAATTACTCTATATCATTCATTTATGTCTGGCATTTCTGACGTCCCAGTCTTTTCTAATCTCTTCAGTATCCCAAACAACCTCTGAGCAAACTCGGTCCTTGCTCTTCCATGTCTGACCGTGCCTGCCTGAAACGCAGAGGCACCAAGAAAGCTACTCAGCACTTGCCAACACCCCAAGTTGATTCCCATACTCTCTTTGAACGCCTACTCCAAACTCAGGCTCATGGGGTGTGCATCCCGTCCTCGTTTCGTCATCACGCCTTCCACTGAGTCAACACCTCCCTCCTGTCTACGCTGAGGACAGAAAGGTACTCCTGCGGCTTTAAGCAAGGTAGTATACACACCCCATCGAGGATGAGTGTAAAGAAAAGAAGCCTATTCAGGTGCAAAGGAATTTGTTTTTCCCTTTGGGTTTCAAACTGGAAATGACCAGCTCTTGCAGTCAGATCAACCTCCTTTTTTTCAGCCCAACACCTGAGGACAGTCTGTTTACTTCTCCTTTGTCACCTCCAGGACCGGGGTGTTTTGTCATGCCAGGGAGTGAACTGGCACAGAAGTTGCTGCAGGAAAAGATGAATCCTGGCAATTGATCGCAGAGACATGTTGTGGGGCCTTCCAATGGATATTCCAGTCTAGAAAGATAAAATACTTTGACCAAACGTGGACTGTGATCGGTGCCACTGTCTCCCTCTGCTGATATGACTGTCAGATGCCCTTCCTGCCTCCCATAGCTACGGATGACTTATCCTTGTGGTGTCTGTAAAGATCATGTAGAACGTCTGCTCCTTGTACGCGTGTAACCTCTTCCACCCGTCCTCTTATTTATGCAAGTAGCACCTTCCTCCCTCACCTCCCTCTCCCCAGTCTCTATGCTGTCCTAGCACCATTAACTCTGCATTAAACATATTGAATAATAAACTTAAAAGTTTCATTTTCACTTGTCTGGGTTTTTTGACCTCTTTGCTGCAAGTCTCTGCTTTTGCCCCAAGTAAGTGCGTCGTGGGTCACACCACCACCACACAGACCCTGCGTACCACCTTCCTCTGAAGAGGACACAGGCAGAACTCTGACTGGCTTACCAGACTCTTTCATGGAGATGAAACTCATCTTCTGGTCACACCCCAGCTCCAGTCATTTCTTTGGTGAGAAGTGTAGTAACGTTGATTTCTGTTCTTCAGCTAAGATTCAGCACGTGCAATTAAGAGTAGCACTGTTTCGCATGTGCTTCACCCAATAATTTCTTAGTGTGATCGTTAATGCTCTCCAGAATAGGAGCATAGGTTCATCCTGGTTCCTCATTAACAGGTGGCAGATGATGTACCTTCAAAAAAAAGCTTCCCCACATACTCAAACTTGTGTATTTTGGAAGCAACCATTAGTTTCTCTGCAGAAACTCAACCCCACAGCTTCTTGCCTTCCACAAGCAAGAACCTAAATACAACCACTCACACACAGAGAGTATATTCAAGAATAGATGAGTACACCCTCTTGTTGTAGAAAACATCCTGCGTGTAGTCAGCTCCTGGGAAGCTATCTGAAGATGGGCGGAAAGAAAACGTACAGCAGATACCGGTCTGCTTAAGAACATCTCTCAAGGCCAATGGTAGCAAGGTGGGATCCCAATTAACACAGAGACTCCACAACAATTACAAACTGATGCCAAAGGTTTCAGTGCTGACACATGTGATCGATCCTGTGAGTTTGTGTTCACTAAACACTTTATGGGTGAGTAGAGTAAGCAGGACGTCTAGGAACTGTGAAACACGTTCAAAGCTTTTTAAAACTCACAGCACTATTTGGACAAAGTCCTGTATAGGGCAAAGAGCGTCATCAGCAGAATGGCTTAATGGATCTAACCATGGTGACGCCAGCTAAAGAGGTCCGTGCGAAACAGGACTGTGGCCATTCACTGGAGAGGAGGAGAAATCTCTACCCCAAACTACAGGCTGTGAGAAGAGTCCAGAGGGGAACTACTGCACTGCTGAGCAGGTCAGGAGCATGTGTGGGGAAAAAAGGATGCCATGGTGGAGTTGGGGCTAGGAAAGCTGATCACAGGGGTGGGAGAGAGAAAGAAGATGGTGTGGACGAACAGAAGAGCGGGAAAAGTTCTTAACCACACACAAGTACCCTTCTCCAGCTCTCCAAAAAGCAAACTAAGAAAGCGAGTGGGCTCTGCCTCAACCATTCTCTAGTGGCAGGGGATGCCTCCTCTTACCTTAGAGGGTCCTCACAACTAAGACAGGACTGAGAATGCCGCTGGTAGCAGAGGGGTTAACCACCACTCCTGCAGCCTAGCGAGAGCTGGCCCGGCATCCTTCCCTATCCCTTTAATCGTATCTGATACAGATGCAAGGCTGGGGAGGGGAGGTGGGTAGGGAACAAAGAAGCTATTTAAGCAAAAAAAAAAAAAAGGACAAGAAAACAACCCCCCGCCCCAATGGGGGGC